CTTGGTTAAAGCTTCCAGTCTGTTCCTCCTTGTTTCCAACAGTCAAACAGTCAGGTCTAAGCATCTTTAGGAAACAGGTGGATCAGCCCATACTTTACACCCATGTCACTTTCGGCTGAGTTCATCCACAGGTCCCTTTTACGCCATGTCTGTATTAATCTGCAATTTTTAAAAAGAGGATTAGTTGAACATCCACCTTTATTTATGAATTCAAGCATTTAAGAATATTTTTAAAACACATATTTCTGAAAGAATTTTGTTGTACCAAATTCCCTTTGACACACATTGATATGTGGGGTTTTGCAGAGGTTGTGTGTGTATGTGTGTGAGAGAGAGCTTTGTGTTAGAAATTTCATATAGTGCAGAAGCCAGTGAGTGTTTAAGTTCAAGACTGAATTTTATTCTAGAATTGATTTATATCAAAATTGGGGAAAAAAATCACATCCTTGTAAGTAATGTTTATCCTCACATCAGTGGCCAGAAACATATTACTTTCTTATGCTGGCTAAGTCCAACAACATAAACCTCAGATTTGAATTGTAATTAATTGAAAAGATGACCTTTGTATTTCCCATTGCATTCCAGTTATGTGATTTAGTGTGTGACAAAAAAAAATACACGCTTTAACCTTTTAATAAATGGCAGTTGACTGTTGGTCTTTAGGTAATATAAATCACCTAATTAGGGTTTACTAATCCAGCAATCCCATACACCTTTGAAACAGAGCTAAATTTCACTTCAGGAAACATCAGGAGTAAAGACATGGTTTAGAGGGGCGGGGTATAAAATAAATAAATAAATAAATAAATAAATAAATAAAGAAAGAAAGAAAGAAAGAAAGAAAGAAAGAAAGAAAGAAAGAAAGAAATGGGCATGAAACCAACCACAAGGCAACCCTCCCCTCCTCACACGCACAAATCAGGTTGTGTCATGGTTTGTTTTGTGACACTTCAGGAAAACGTGCCTGCTCAGAATAAAATAAAACACTGAACTATTCTCAGTGTTGGCGATTCCTACACTTCATTTTTTGGGCACATCATTCCTGGCCCGGTGCCACTCGATCAATTCCTTAGGCGATGCCAGGCAGAGCTCTGAGTCTCCTCCATGAGGGTAGCTGGTTACAGGAGCCACACCCCGAGGACCTCAGATGGTGGTTTCACTTTTGCAGCAGTCGGAATGAGAAGATGCCTCACTTGTTGTTGTTTAAACGTTTAGTCGTGTCTGGACTCTTCATGACCCCATGGACCAAAGCACGGCAGGCCCTCCTGTCTTCCACTGCCTCCCAGAGTCGTGTCAGATTCATGTTGGTTGCTTTGATGACACCGTCCAACCATCTCATCCTCTGTCGTCCCCTTCTCCTCGTGCCTTCACACTTTCCCAACATCAGAGTCTTTTCCAGGGAGTCTTCTCTTCTCATGAGTTGGCCAAAGTATTGGAGCCTCAGCTTCAGGATCTGTCCTTCCAGTGAGCACTCAGGGTTGATTTCCTTCAGAACGAATAGGTTTGATCTCCTTGCAGTCCAGGGGACTCTCAAGAGTCTCCTCCAGCACCACAATTCAAAAGCATCAATTCTTCGGCAGTCAGCCTTCTTTATGGTCCAGCTCTCACTTCCATACAACACTATTGGAAAAACCATAGCTTTGACTTTCACTAGCTAGTCTGTTTGTCACTTCCATTGTCTTCCCTCATCTGCCGCCTTTCTGTTCTCTCCCTAGTCCACCTCATGATGAGCAACACCCTGCCTCAAGTTCCCTCCCATGAACCACCCATTGAATTTTCCCCAAGCCAGCTTCTAAAGAACACTTTCCTTGGGGGGGATCTGGTTTGGGGGCCTCTAACTGGGATATCCCAAATCCAATTGTCACTAAAGATGGAGTGAGTGAGAAGGAGAGTCAGCCGAAGACACACAGTGAGTGTGGCATCTCTAGCTCATGCCGGCATTGATCTTGGAAATCCTGCATTGCATGAACCACAAAATGATTTATTTCGTTGGAATGTTCATGGAAGTTTTGGTTCATGAATAATGATGAATCACAAACATGAATAATCATGAATTGCTGTTTTCCCAGTTCATGCCCATCTCTAACCAGGACGTCTTCACTTTTTCTGAGCAGGATCAAGCCATTATACAAATACACAGTAGCATTTGGTGCAGAAGCTTTAAAGGAGAGACACTTTTTAAGGGGACAGTTCTGCATTAAAAGGAAAAGACAGAGATTGGGGGAAACCACAGAAGAAGAGAATCTGGCATGAAGAAAAGGTATCATGTGTAGATTATCTTACCTGTTTTCTCATTTCGCCTCTTTTCTCACAAGGGAAGATAGGCAAACATAATATTCCCTTAGAACTCCTGGATCTCAGTCTCTGCTTTCCAAGGAACTTGGCTTTCAAGCACTGAGCATAGCACAGATTGTCAGAAAGGTGGCTGATGTTAATCTGCCAAGGAGGGGGCACAATATCCAAGAAATCCATTAGTCGATGCCACAGTAGCCAAAGTCATGGATCTGTCCTTCTTGTGAAGGCTTCAAAATCTGCCGTGTGCAGGGGAAATTGCTCTCAGAGGTTTCAGAACCAGAAGAAAGGTGCATTTCATATTTCCCAGTGTTCTCCTGCACAATCCAGTATGAACTCTCAGTGGCCTATATTTGGATCATGATCATTTTGCTCCAAAAAGACTGTTTTGGGACATATGGCTCTGTCCTGTGTATTTGTACAGAATCAATTAAATCCATACTGAAAGGCAAATTAGATGACAAGCTGAGCACATTTTTAGAAGAGGTGCTCCCTCAATGGATAAAAAATATCCAGTTGTCACAGCTAAATAGGTTAACACCAGCACTATTCTGGGAGTTACATGAATAGGCATATTCCTAGAGAAGTAGATTTGCAAAATAAGTGAAATGTAGAGAGGGATACTAAATTGTGTTTGTTTGGTAATATAAAGATGAGGAAAAGGAAGAGGGGAGTCAGCAAAATGTTTGATAAAAGCTTTCTTCATTTATGTTGTAGTGATAACAAACTGACTTTAATCAACATGGCGACAGTAAAAAATAGACACGTTAGGAACATCTGCTGCTTCTGCGGTGCCATTTAGCGTCACTATATTAACATGCCTGACCTGCCACAATAGCGTTGTGCAGAAGCCAGTAATGTCCCAGCTTCCAATGTGCAAGATCGAGAGGAAAATGTTGTACATGCGAAAAAGCAGAAGTAACAGATTATGAGATTAAGAGTGGTGGGCAAATGCAAGGTGGAAATAATTCCAAAGTGGAAGGAACAGAGAGAGAGAGAACGGGAGAGAGAGAGAAAGAGAGAGAAAGAGAGAGAAATCAGTATTGATGCCCTTCAACTCATGCAATCAACTCATGCTGTATGTTATCAGACTGGAGGTGTGAAATACACACTTTAGCTCAATAGACTCTGTGTCTGCTGGATAGCTCAGTGGTTTAGGTGTCCAGTGGTGGAACCACAGCTTTGGAGTTCGATACCCACTAGTACCTTCCTGATGGGTTGGACTTGATGGTCCATAGGGTCTCTTCCAGTTCTGTTATTCTAAGCTGCTGCTGCTGCTGATGATGACCTTAAAACCATGGTACTTAAAACCTGGTGTTCATATTAAGGAGGACCCTGTGGAGGTACATACATCTTTGGGGAAGACCAATGGGTCAGTCTAACATTTTATGTGTCAAGAATCCCAAAATGTAACCTGGGGATTAAATATAGAGTTAAATCCAAACGTATGACAAATAATTTGCACTTTCATCCCCGTCTTCGCTCTTGTGCAGATTAATTAAAGTCAGTACAGTGGGGTCTTGACTTGAGAACTTAATCCGTATTGGAAGGCGGTTCTCAAGTCAAAAAGTCTGTAAGTCAAGTCTCCATTGACCTACAGTGCATTGAAAACCGATTAATCCCGTAACAGGCCGTTTTTGTTCCATTTTGGTTTTTTTCTGGTCTGTAAGTCAAATCTCAGTCTGCAAGTCAAACCTAAATTTTGTGGCCAGAGAAGTCTGTAACTCAAAAAGTCTGTAAGTCAAGCCGTCTGTAAGTCAAGGGTCCACTGTAATCCAAATTAAGGTGATCAAAGTCCAACTTCCTTGTTCTTGGTAACAGCAGTTTCATTTATCTCTATACTTTGTATTATCGCGATTCTGATAGTTTTATGTTTTATTTAATAGTTTTACAGATTTCTTTTATCTATCTGTTATTTTACTTGGTGTGAACCACCCAGAATAGCACTTGGCACTAATGGGATGGTATATAAAGCTAGGAAAATGAATGAATGAATGAATGAATATAGGTTTCTTGTTCTCTACCAAATGTGAACATATACCTTTCCTTGGGATTTCCCATTGAGAGTAAAATAAGTCCTTGTATTACATTGCCTTTTGAAGCTGCTGGAACCTCATTGTATTGGTAGTGGAACCTTCCAGTGGTTTCACCTATGTCTTTATATGGATTCACTCGGGAGCAGGAAAACTATGTATACTACATTACGCTCATCAATGGAGTTGCAGTGTGATCAATACGTTCCATGTCTTTCAAAGAGAGCAAGGGGTCATTTCTATGACTTTCCAGCAATGAAATCCAAAAGTAAGTATCCCTTACTTTTTGAATAAATCGGACTGTCAGAACCTGACATTGAAAATCTATCTGAAGATCTGCAAAAAGCCTTAAAAAAAACACTACATTGTTTCTTAGCTCCATTGGTGCGGTGAGAGTAATGTTATAGTCAGCAGGAGATTCCCACTAATTAAAGAGCTTCTGCTTCAATGTTCAGTTGTGCTCAGCTTCATCTCATTGCACGTGAGTTGCATGTAACTGAAAGTCACAGGAGGAGGTCTCTAATTAGTGGCAATCTCATTCCACGAGCGACATTCCCCCCTGCTGCTCTGGTGGAGCTACATAACAACTTACTACTCAGTAGAGTTAAAAAAAAAAAGAATTTGCATCATTAGAATGACACATCAAAAGCCTGGAGCTTTCAGCTGTTTGGAGAATCAAAGCTCAGTTTGGACTGTGGGTTCTAGTGTCTCTGCACAGTTTCCCTCTTCAAAAAGTTTCTCCAATATTTTCTTTACACTGCCCCTAGACCTACCCCTTTTTCTTCTCCCTATCAGGAAATAGATCAGAGGATTAATGGTGCTGTCCAGAGATACACATATCAAGCCATATTCATAGAGATACTCATCAAAATATGAAGTGTAGAAGTAGAAATACTCAATGAAATTCATTGGCAAAGCAAAGAGGAGGAAGAGAATGAGAGCAAGCAAGATGACTGTTAAAAGCCTTTCCCGTCTACGTTGGGGTGACATTAAGCAGACTTTAATGATCATGGCTAGTGTGGAAAGAAACATGACTGGAGTGAAGAGCATGGCATTTAGGAGAAACTGGTAGTACCTCAAATAAGTATAATTTCTATTGGTTAACAAGAAGGTGATGGTGGGGGTAGCAGAGATCAGGAACGTAAGGATCCATATGATGGCACATATAATGGTGGACAAATGTGCTGGCCGATGACACTTGTGCCAAAGTGGGAAAGAGAGACACACACACCTGTCAATGCTGATGGCCGTCAGTAGAAACTGACTCGCGCTGAACATAAATGAGAAGAAGGCATAAAAAAACTCATGCAGGGAATCAGAACAGTATATACCAGGGAGGACACCTAAAAGCCAACATGTATTTAGGCCAGCTAGAGCAGTGAGTATACTAAAGTCTGCGACGGAGAGGTTCAAGATGTAGATGGTGAAAGGATTTCTCTTAGTGTGGAAGCCAAGAAGCCAAATGACCGTCCCGTTCCCCACAAAGCCAGCAAGGTTGATAAGAAAAGTGAAACCGGTCGTTATGTAAATTCCTACAAGAAAAGTGTTGTCATATTCTGAGATGCCGCTGCTGTAGTTTGAGAACCAACTGCCGTTGAGTATGTCATTATATTCCATTCCTGCATCCAGAAAAGGAAGTGACAGCAGACTGAAATTGGTCATTCTAGGAGAAAAGAAATACAGGAGGGTTCATTTTCCAGCTATAGGTGCTGAGTGAGTAACATTACAGCTACAGTTGTCATCCTGGTCTGGCTTAGCTCATGCAAGGTATGTTGCTATTGTTTCAACTTATATTCTGCTCTCAGTGCTTAGAAGACACTCTGGGGGGTTTGCAACCTAATTAAGCAGACAACAAGCTGGATACTCGCTTTACTGGCCTCAGATGGATGGAAGATTGAGTCAACCTTAAGCCAGCTGACTGATCCCTTCAGGATTCAACTCAGATCATGAGCAGAAGACTGACTGCCGTACTGTAGTTTAACCACTGCATCATGGGGCATCAATATGGTATTTTACTTAGAAGTGAGTGAAATTAGCACTAGGGTCTTGCGACTCCTGAGGTCTTGTGACTTCTACCTGTATTGCAGGAGTGTATTTTATTTTACATAAGGATAAATGTATTCACTCATATCATGGGTACCTCTGCGTGATGTGTGTGTGTGTGTGTGTGTGTGTGTGTGTGTGTGTGTGTGTGAATACTCTGGACAAGAAGACAAAGCTTTTGTTAACAGACTAAGTAACTAAATTAGTATTTGAAGTGAGAAGATGAATACCGTATTTTTCGCTCCATAAGACTCACCTTTCCATAAGACGCACCAATTTTTTAGGAGAAGAAAACAGGAAAATATAATCTGTTTTCTTTGCTCCATAAGACGCACAGACTTTCCACCCCCCCTGTTTTGTGAGAAAAAAGTGCGTCTTATGGTGCGAAAAATACGGTAATTCAAATGGAAATATACTAAATGCAGCCCAAAAGGTGATGGGATTTCCATATGACCCAGAAAGCTGAAACCTTAAAGTCACAAGTACAAAGCACTGTGATTGTAAATGGTCAATTAATGATTACTTCCCACCCACCCCATCTTTTTCTTTCTTATGACTTGAGTGCTCTCTGTGTATACACATCTTAAACCTCGTTACTTCATTAGTTGCTCTTCTTTTGGACCTCATAGAGATATTTTTCTTAAGTCCTTTATATCTCACCATAATAAAACATCTCATTACTAAGTAATATGTGGCTATTAGCATCTCCAGTTGTTAGTCCAGTGGATCCCAACCTCAGATCTCCAGATGTTCTTGGACTATACCTCCCAGAAATCTGGCCAGCCCAGCTAGTGGTGAAGGCTTCTGGGATTTGTAGGTCAAGAACATCTGGGGCCCCAAAGTTGGGAACCACTGTTTAAGAGCATGGTTTACAGCCTTTGGCCCTCCTGATATTTTTGATATTAGCTCCCAGGAGCCCCAGAAATGTGGCCAAAATTCAGAAACTCTGGCAGCTGAAGTCCAAAGAGCTGAAGAATCAACAATTGTGAGCTCATGGTCTAGACATATTTATACTAAAAGAAAAGTTGATACGACACACCTTGAGGCCATTTTCTTAGACCCAACAAACATAACCAAAATTAACCAGAATAGTCAAAGATGAGAGTAATGGGATTTGTAGTCCAACAACTCCTGATGGGCTACACATAACCCATTGCTTAAGGCAGTGGTTCCCAACCTTGGGTCCTCAGATGTTCTTGGACTCCCAAAAATCCTGGCCAGTGGTTGAAGGCTTTTGGGAATTTTAGTCCAAGAACATCTGGTGACCCAAGGTTGGAAACTACTGGTTTAGAATCTGCAGCTATTGTGATATAGCTACGTTTTATTCTTTCCTGGGGTTTGGACAGAACGGTCTAACAATCTGAAATAACCCCACCCGCCCCCATTTCACTTACCTGGAAGTATGAATGGATCAGCGATCCTCATCTAAAGTGGTACAGTATTTGTCATGGCATGTAGAGCTAGAATGAGGGAGGATGGAGACCAATGCCTGTTAGGTTTTGGATGCCAGAAAGCCCGCACTGGAAATCATGTTGCTTTCGAGACCCACTCAAAGCTCTGGATACTTTGCCTTTGCCTTGTTTACCAGTGGCCCAACTCTTATCAAAGGAAGGAAACGGCCGTTTGCTTGCTATCAAAAATTGATCAGCAAGTGTAAAAGAAGAGAATCTGAGCCTTCTCAGTGGACTCTTGGGAGAGCAAGCTGGCAATTTCTTACCAGATCCACACAGAAGTGTGTAGCTGCTTGAAGATTAAAAATCCATGCTAAATTACACCAAATAAAAGAGGAAAACACTGACAAGCAAAAAGGGTAACTCCCTGGCAGAGTTCCTAAGGCAGAGATATCTCACAAAGCTACAGCTGTAGAGACCATCCTGCCTTATGAGGTTTGTGGAGTCCCTTCAGTTAGTGTTGCTGAAAAAAGAAACTTCTCCACCGAGGAGACCAGCCTTAATGTTCATTGAATAAGGTTGTTTCCAGTAGTTGTGACAGTAGATTTCATAGTCCTTGGTACGGAGAACAGAAACAGGGTAATTAGTTTATTTTTAAGCCAGTGGAAAGTGCCCATCACGTACAGCTGCACTGGATTTTTACCATGCTTCCCTGAGTGCACAACACATACTGTATGGCATTACCTACACTACAATGGACACTTTTTTTATCCAAGAAGCCACAATGCTACTGGGGCTCAAGACAAGTTCACCGTCAACCCATGGAGAGTTCTTCCTTGAATCCTCCACTAATTCGTACTAGACATGCATAACAAAAAGACCTCGTGAGTCGTGATGCTGGCGTGCTTTATCCAGGCTCCATCAGACATGATAGGCCCAGTTCTCTCCTCCACAGTCCCATCCACTCAGTTTTGGCATGCCAACATTGCACAAGTACACCATGTACAAATAGTAGCTTAATCATCACCCTGTGGCCAGGTAGGGGAGGGCAAGGTGGATTCCAGAGCAAATCTATCCTCACCTTCTGTCTCAGCCCATTCGTTGATTGACCAGGCACAAGTTAGTTACAACTGAATAACATGGCGTTGACTTCTGTGAGTTTACTTGTGTCTCACTAAACTTGGATTGAGCACCTAATTTACCTTCTGACAAAGATGCTCTGGTAACAGGTAACAATTTCCTAATTTAGCAGCTGAGATTGAGCCAGGGGGTTGGACTTGATGGCCTTGTAGGCCCCTTCCGACATCACTTTTCTACGATTTTCTATGGTTATTTGACCAATGCATGCATCTATCAGGGATTCATATCAGGGGATATAGACATGGCAGCTAACAAACATCTTCGGCCTCACTTGGCCTTATTTGGCATGGCCAGCTATCTCGTTCTGGACTCCAGGCTTCGCTACAAGGGATGAGACTGTACGAAGGGGATCCTGGAGAGATGACAAAGCAGAACAGTGTGTCAAAGAGAGAAGTGAACGAGGATGCCATGCACAGTGGAGAAAAATGTCTTTTGGGTCAGAAAGATAGAAAAGGATCTCGGCTTTTTCATGGGCAGGGTGAGTAGGATTGTCCTCTAAACCCATGATCTTGGAAGCCAAGGCTTCTCTACTTTCTGTGTTTCTGCTCTACTCTGTTGCTTGCTTTATCACTGCACGCAACTGATTCCACACCAAGACACAGATAGGACATGAAGCAGCAACATGACTTCCTGCCATGCCAAACACACACACACACACACACACACACAGACACTTTTGGTTATATGCTCCCTCACACACACAGACAGGGAGCAGAAGGCATGTGCAAGTTTCAGATTACATTCTAGAATTCCTTACATTATGATCTCCATGGGTGCTTTCATGTTCAACATATTCTCAATCCTTCCAGTAGTCTTAAAAGGACCTTTGGACCGGTGAGTGAACAGCTGACTTTCATTTTGCGATAGAGATGGTCCTTTGTCTTTCTTAATACAGTGGGGTCTTGACTTGAGAACTTAATCTGTATTGGAAGGTGGTTCTCAAGTCAAAAAGTCTGTAAGTCAAGTCTCCACTGACCTACAGTGCATTGAAAACCGATTAATCGCGCAACAGGCCATTTTTGTTCCATTTTGGTTTTTTTCTGGTCTGTAAGTCAAATCTCAGTCTGCAAGTCAAACCTAAATTTTGCGGCCAGAGAAGTCTGCAACTCAAAAAGTCTGTAAGTCAAGCCGTCTGTAAGTCAAGGGTCCACTGTAAGAAGAAAGAGGGTGCCTTATCTTTCTTAATAATATTCTCGGAACTGCACGGCTGGAAGGAAGCTGGTGGATTATCAAGGCTAGTTCCTAGCCAGGAGGTACACCGAGGAAGTGAACTTCTTGCTCTGTAGCCAGAGATCTAAACTCCTGAGATAGCCAGCAGTTCATTGTTAAAGCAGAAGTGCCTATAGGTAAGTTGGCCGCTGGAAATTGCAGGCTAGCTAATGCTGGACCTCACATTGCTCTGTCCCACGGGGTGGTGAGCTGTTTCATGTTACCTCTGCCTCATACATTTTGTGAACCTCTCTGCCAGCAACCTCTCTGAATGGACAGCACTTCTCCACCCAAAATACATAGAAATCAATAGGGCAACCCTCCCACCAAGGTAAAACCCATTCAATCTGCTACTGTCTTCTCTTTGCCACCACCCTCTATCGATCAGGGCAGCCATTCATAGCAAATTGGGAGGACAATGTACTGCTTGTAACCTGCTTCTCTTGCAGTCTTCTTGCCTCTTCTTTTCCTAATCCCACCACTGAACCTCCCATTATCCTGCTCTATGGAAGGTTGAGAATCCTTCTTCTTGCTAGCTCTGCACAAGCAGTTGTAGCCTCTGCCTGTTGTCAAGTGGTGAGGAGAGATGTGTTGGCTCCAAAGTACACACATTCCAACCATACACTTCCTCACACTTTGCGCAGGGCTATATGGCAAGTAAGGGATGGGCGGTGATTTCAAATGTTCTACCACAACTAAGGGAGGAGGGGGTCACCATTCTTAACAGGCCCCTCCAGCAGGATGTGGGAATCCACATTAGAGTGTGCTGGACCCATAGTGTCCTGAAAAATTATAGGGTTGGAGCCAGAAATGGGGGTATTCATATTTGTATACAAATATCTGCGCACAGCTGGACATAACATTCATGTGTCTGATGCT